AGACGATATATTCGATATCGCACTTTAAAAGTATAAAAGAGGTGCCACAAACTTAAAGTTTGCAGCACCTAATATCTAGTTATTAATAAAGTTTATATAAGAGCCCAAAACTCAATAATAGGATAGGTGATGCCTACTTAAATTATATGGTCATGTTAAGTAAAAATTTAAAATTACCTGACGAAATGAACCCATACGAGCAAAAGATGTTCTGTCATCCGAAAAAGCAACTTGCAATGCCTCGCGTTCGCGCTTTTGCTTCTTTTCCAGACAAATAGCGAATGCACAGCCCACAGCATGAGACAAACGCTCGCCCTAGAGTAAATCGTTTAAAAAAGGATACAAAAATAGCAAAATAATTTGAAGACGTTTAATTATTAGTAGTAAAGCTAGGAATAGCATTTTTAAAATAAACGAATCACTAACCGTTCCTTTAACAGCAAGGAAAGCATGACACATCCATCGTCTAGTCGCAGCATCCCGACATATATAGGCAAACCCTTTATCGTGGTTTCTGTCGGGCGCACAAAAAGACACTTTTTCGATTGTTTGGTCTACAATGAGGTGCTTTTGAAAGATAGATTTAAAAAAAGTTACGTTGCTCATTTCATCAGAGACGCGAAGAGCGTCACCACTGACGTGCAAAATAGCCTTTTGCGGTTTTTTCTCAAAAAATAAAGCCAAGAATTATAACATACTTTTGATTTTCTTAAAGCCTTTATGGCTTCTTCACAGACTTGCATCCCCCGAGACTCAAATACTTCAATATTTCCAAGGTACTGAAAGCAATGAGTCAGGGTTAATTACCTTGACTTGAAAGCTACACGAACAGTCCTTAATTTTTCGTTCGTCTTCAAGCCACTGCTGAGGCTTAGCGAATTCACTAGTCTCATTTTTCTTCTTCCTTTTACGAAAGCTAAGTGTTCTCTTGAGTTGTCTAAATGAGCGCTAGGACAAAACGGAGTAAAATTGGTGTATATACCATAAAAGCACCTCCGCGCGTAGCCATTTAAAAACAGATAGTTCAAGAGAAAATTGATTAAATTGAAAGAAATAAAGACTCAAAGGCCATTAGTTATGGCGTAGACATGTCGCCAGCTTAAACGGACGGCAAGAGAAATGGGTAGGAAGTAACAAATCAAACCTAAAAATAAATGACCCCATTTACTTAAATAAAAATTAAAATAAACTAAACTTAAGTTGAAGATTATTAAATTAATATTTTATTTGTTGTTACAAATTAATTCTAAATTAAATTTAAGGTTATTTTCTTAGTAAGTAATAACTTTTTTATTTTAGTAACTTTGTGTTATATTTAATTGATTCAAATATTCCGCATATCTCAACACGCTTGTTTACACTGACAACCCTGTTCAGCTGCATATCCTACACACATATATATTTTTTACTAGCCTAGTAAATTTATCTCCCCTCAC